GCCTCAGCCTCCCAAAGTGCTGGGAGTACAGGTGTGAGCTACCACACCTGGCCAAGTTAGTGTCTCATTATCTTTCCATTGGAATAAATAGCTTTACTCTTATCGATTTGTGCTTAGAATAGTGTTTTGCATGGAGTTGGCCCTCAATAAACATGAGTTATGTCAGAACTAAATTTACATAATACAAAGTAAAGGCATAAATGCTGGAGAATATTAAAGGAATGGAGAAATGGAGATGCGTGTTTTTTGTTTTTTTGTTTTCTTTGAGATGGAGTTTGCTCTTGTTGCCCAGGCTGGAGTGCAATGTCATGATCTCAGCTCACTGCAACCTCTGCCTCCCAGGTTCAAGCGATTCTCCTGCCTCGGTGTCCTGAGTAGCTGGGATTACAGGCATGTACCACCATGCCAGGCTACATTTTTTTTATTTTTAGTAGAGACGGGGTTTCTCCATGTTGGTCAGGCTGGTCTCGAACTCCCAACCTCAGTTGATTCACTCGCCTCGGCCTCCGAAAGTTCTGGGATTACAGGCATGAAACACTACACCTGGCCAAGATACTTGGTTTTTAAAAATTGCATGTCTTTCTTTTTTTTTTGGGGGTTGGAGTTTCGCTCTTGTCTCCCAGGCTGAAGTGCAATGGTGCAGTCTTGGCTCATTGCAACCTCCACCTCCTGGGTTTGAGCGATTCTCCTGCCTCAGCCTCCTGAGTAGCTGGGATTACAGGTGTGCACCACTACGCCAGGCAAATTTTTTTTGTATTTTTAGTAGAGACAGGGTTTTACCATTTTGGCCAAGCTAGTCTCGAACTCCTGACCTCAGGTGATCTGCCTGCCTCAGCCTCCCAAAGTTCTGGGATTAGAGGCATGAGCCTCCATGCCCAGCCACACGTCTAATTTTTTAATGGTGTGTTTTTTCCGGTGTGGATTGATATCTGAGTCAAGGATAGTGGCATTTTGCCTCTAAAGCCTAACATAATGTAAGCTGAGACTGTATATCCTGAGTGCTGATAGATTATGAATATTCATATATATACATATTTTGTACATACATAAATATCTATCTATCTATCTATATGTATTTGTTACCCTCCTGGTAAGTCACATAACTTTTTTTTTTCCCCCAAAAAATTTTCCCAAAAATTTTTGTAAATTTTTGTATTTTTAGTAGAGACAGGGTTTTACCGTTTTGGCCAGGCTGGTCTCGAACTCCTGACCTTAGGTGATCTGCCTGCCTCGGCCTCTCACAGTCCTGGGATTGTAGGCGTGAGCCATCGTGGCTGTCCTGGTTGTCTTTACTAACTCTGGCATTTGCTTTTCTTCCATTTGGAAACCAAATATCTTTGACTTTGCAGTCAGAAAGAATTTGTGGATATTTGGTGAGGAAGATGCTAAAAAGGTGAATAAAAACTTAAGTGAGAATATTTTAAGTTGAGTCTGTGTTTTCATTTTAGTATAATCGAGCGATTTCATGGTGAAGGGTGGATTCCCCACCCCCCCCAACCCTCCCACCCAGGGAACGTTTGGCAATGTCTGGAGAAATTTTTGGTTGTCACATATTTAGGGGAAGGGAGAGAGGTGTTGCTACTGACATCTAGTGGGTAGAGGCCAGGAATGCTGCTAAGCATTGTACAATGCAGTGGACAAACCACACAAAATTATCTGACCCAAATAACAGTGCTGCTATTGAAAAACCTTGGTATGCTACACGGTAAATTGTTGGTTCTGAAGTTGAATTATCAAAAGTCATATTTGGCTTAACCATTTCCTAATGTGTGACCCTGGCAGAATGCTTAAAGTCTGTAAAATAGAGCTAATATTGTATGTTCCTTATAGGCTTGTACTGAGGATTAAATCAGATAATGTGCAAAGAACCAAGCTTATTATCTGGCACATAACAAAATGCTAAAAAATTGTTAACTTTCAGCCAATACTATATTTGGAACTCATCTTGAGAGTCTTTTTTCCCATCTGAAATTAGAATTTGAGCTAGAGAAATGATAATTAATAATCTAGTTCTTTTTGTTTTTGTTTTTTGGGACAGAGTCTTGCTCTGTCACCCAGGCTGGAGTACAGTGGCACGATCTCGGCTCACTGCAGCCTCTGCCTCTGGGTTCAACCAGTTCTCCTGCTTCAGCCTCCTGAGTAGCTGGGACTGCAGGCACGTGCTAACACGCCCAGCTAATTTTTTGTATTTTTAGTAGAGACTGTGTTTCACTGTGTTAGCCAGGATGGTCTTGATCTCCTGACTTTGTGATCCACCTGCCTCAGCCTCCCAAAGTGCTGGGATCACAGGCGTGAGCTACCGTGCCCGGCCAATAATCTAGTTCTTGTGTCTGTGGGGAGTGAGTGAAAAAAGTATTCCACTTAATATTTGTGTTTAGCCCAGTCTTGTTTTATGTTCTCAAGTCTAAAAAGCTTTTGCCATAAACAAGTGGCTTCTCACTGTAGATGTTTTTCCATCAAATTGAGACTTTAAGCCAGCTTGCCAATTGCTCTGTATCTGTTGATTTTCAGCAAATGTTTCATAATTTAACAGAATTTGATTCTGTGACTTCATGCTCATTTCCTTTTGCCTTTACAAACTAAAGTAAGTTTACAGTGGTTTTGGCTAACCTTATTACCTGTTTGTAGCCTCTGGGAGTAACTGTTTTCATAACTGAAGTTTTGGTGCACTTTCACATGTATGAAGGGTGCACACAAATATCTCCTAACAACTTGGGGCTAGACCTTAATAGATATTAGTGACTTTTTCTAAATCCAAATTGGAACCCATATCTTTATCTCTCTTTCCTCATCACAACATAATACTGTAGTCTCTGTAAAACTCTCATTTCCGGCCAGGCGCGGTGGCTCATGCCTGTAATCCCAGCACTTTGGGAGGCCAAGGCAGGCCGATCACCGGAAATTGGGAGTTCAAGACCAGCCTGACCAACATGGAGAAACCGCGTCTCTATTAAATATACAGGCTGGGCACAGTGGCTCCCGCCTGTAATCCCAGCACTCTGGGAGGCCAACGCAGGCAGATCACGAGGTCAGGAGATCGAGACCATCCTGGCTAACGTGGTGAAACCCTATCTCTACTAAAAATACAAACTATTAGACGGGCATGGTGGCGGGCACCTGTAGTCCCAGCTACTTGGGAGACTGAGGCAGGAGAATGGCGTGAACCCGGGAGGTGGAGCTTGCAGTGAGCTGAGATCACGCCACTGCACTCCAGCCTAGGTGACAGAGCGAGACTCTGTCTCAAAAGAAAAAATAAATAAAAAATAAAATGAAAATACAAAATAAAAATACAAAATTAGCCAGGCGTGGTGGCGCATACCTGTAATCCCAGCTACTCGGGAGGCTGAGGCAGGAGAATCGCTTGAACCCAGGAGGCGGAGGTTGTGGTGAGCCAAGATCATGCCATTGCACTCCAGCCTGGGCAACAAAGTGCGAAACTCCATCTTAAAAAAAAAAAACAAAAAACCTGCCATTTCCTCTGTCTAAATGATATGGCTATTTAGAGCTGGTTTGTTGTGGTAGTGGTTTTAATAAGTCCTTTATATATATATAAAAAAAAAATCACAGGGATATCCTTACAGACAAAATAGAGACTTTGGACCTTTTTTTTTTTTTTCCTATTTCAAGAGCAGGAATCTTGCTGTGTTGCCCAGGCTGGATTCAAACTCCTGGGCTCAAGTGATCCTCCCACCTCAGCCTCCCTAATAGTTGATGCCACCATGCCTGGCTGGACTGTTCTTTAATAAGTCACAGGGCTTGTGTAAGGGAAGATGATCGACACTATATGATCAAGGGAGAAAGCAACGTCTTACATTGAACTTTTTGTCTTGATAAATATACCTTAAAAATAGGAGGTATTGGCTGGGCGCCGTGGCTCACGCCTGTAATCCCAACACTGTGGAAGGCTGAGGCAGGCAGATCACGAGGTCAGGAGTTCGAGACCAGCCTGACCAATATGGTGAAACCCCGTCTCTACTAAAAGTACAAAAATTAGCCAAATGTGGTGGCAGGCGCCTGTAGTCCCAGTTACTCAGGAGGCCGAGGCAGGAGAATCGCTTGAACCCAGGAGGCGGAGGTTGCAGTGAGCTGAGATTGTGCCACTGGACTCCAGCCTGGGCGATGGAGTGAGACTCCATCTCAAAAAAAAATTTTTTTTAAAAAGGAGGTATTGTATTATGGTTGTCATCCGTATTTTTGTAGTATAAGTCATAAGGATTTGTCTAATGTTCACTCATTTTAGCTAATGGAAATCTTTTTTTACCTTTTGTATTGGTACTGCCTTCTATTGGGCTGGAGGATATTTGAAGAGAGTCAGTACCTTGGGCCAAGAGATTGTATTCTTTACACTTGATCTTAGCCAAAAGGCCAAGAAGCAGTAGAGATTGTGTTCATTGCTTGGCACATTCTGTCTTTTGTGAAGTGTAACATATACTCAGGGTTCTGTATAAATAATAAATTAAAATAACGATGGAGTGTCCATCTTGTGGAAACTGTTGTCAGGCCAGTAGTATACATGTGAGAAATACAATAAAAGGCCAACAGGAGGCATTCCAAGAACATCAGGCAAACTGAAATAAAGAATTGTGTTAATAAGAATTCTTGGCTTTACTGTTTTTCTTTTGAGGTTTAGTAATCTAGAAGAGAAAAGCCCACAGAATAGAACATTTGTTTTTGACTTACACACTTTTCCAGTTCCTAACGGGAGAACATTATAGCTATGAAATCAGTATTATAATAGAGTTATCTTGTATGATGTTTGTTCCATGATTAAATTGAGAAGAACAAGTATCCTTGAATCTGCTGATGTGTGTTTGTTTATAGGTGGTCTGGAGTCCTGCCTGTCAGCCTAATTTTAGGTAGCCTGCATAATTGTTGGGAGACAGACTGTTTTCTCACTGAATGCTGCATACAGATATGTATTTGTGTATGTGTATTTATATATATTTGTCTTTTATTTTTGGTAGAAAATGATGCATCCTGTTGCCAGCAGTAATCCAGCTTTCTGTGGGCCTGGCAAGCCTTCCTGCCTCAATGAAGATGCCATGAGAGCTGCTGATCAGTTTGACATATATTCCTCCCAGCAAAGCAAATACAGCCACACAGTCAACCACAAACCAATGGTTTGTCAGAGGCAAGACCCATTAAATGAAACACACTTGCAGACTACAAGTGGCAGAAGCATAGAAATAAAAGACGAACTAAAGAAAAAGAAGAATCTCAACCGATCTGGTAAGCGTGGCCGGCCTTCGGGAACCACCAAATCAGCAGGATACCGGACCAGCACAGGCAGACCCCTGGGAACCACCAAAGCAGCTGGATTTAAGACAAGTCCAGGCAGACCTTTGGGGACAACTAAAGCTGCGGGATACAAAGTCAGCCCAGGGAGACCTCCAGGTAGCATTAAAGCTCTATCCCGTCTTGCCGATCTTGGTTATGGCTGTGGCACTGCTGCTTTTCCTTACCCTATGATGCATGGCAGAGCAGTTCACGGGGTAGAGGAAACTAGCAGTGAAGTCAAACCACCCAATGAGTGAATGAGGCAGGAAAAGAGGGCCAGGTTTAGAAGGAAGATTGTGAATAATCCCAAAGCTTCTTGGTTTTATTTTGATATACATAATTTTATGGCCTGGGCTTTCCAAATTTGTTTTCCTGTTTGGTTTTTTTCCTGCTTTTGCTCAAAAACTGCCATATGCTGACAGATGCACTCAGGGCATGAGCAGTGGCATTGTATTTGTACATAGGTTCAAGTGTAACACCTAACTAAATCATTTTTGCTTTTCCTTTAGCGTTATGGTCATGTCTCATGTTTCATTACTATTTTGGGGCTGTTCTAAATAGATGCTTTATGTGATAAACAACTGAAACCATTATACCTATTAGTTTGTGAAGTAAGCCTACAATATAATAAATATACTAATGTATTTTTAACTGGTGGAGCAAAAAAGCAAACTAATGAATCAGGATTACTTGAGGTAATGGCTGTGTGAGTTTTTGTAACATTTATTTTCACAAGACGGGACACAGATATTTGTATGCTTTGGCATTTACATCCACTTCAAATGTTAAAAAAACTTATTTTTAATGTTCTGGGTTTAAGCAGCTTGTAATTTATTGATCTACATGGCATTAATTGATTTAACCATTATTCCTGAAATAATTCTTTAGTGTTTGCCTTTGAGCAGTGATAGGTTGTGTATTTTTTAATTGCCTAAGAGCATATATACCAAACACTACAAGCAATTCATATTTAGAGAAAATTTAAACTTTTATAAAAACTGCACATTACATTTTTGGTGAAATATAGTGCATTCTGAGGATAGCATATTTCATATAATAGAAAAAGAAACATTCTCTAGGTTTGCATGTAGCTATAGTCACTATATTTTGCCTTTCATATAGAAAGTTTTAAAGTGTCATGTTTAAAAACATTTATTGGCCGGACGTGGTGGTTCACACCCAGCACTCTGGGAGGCTGAGGTGGGCGGATCACTTGAGGTCAGCAGTTCCAGACCAGCCTGGCCAACATGGTGAAATCGCATCTCTACTAAAAATGCAAAAATTAGCCAGATGTGGTGGCGGATGCCTGTAATCCAAGCTACTCGGGAGGCTGAGGCAGGAAAATCCTCAAACCCAGGAGGCAGAGGTTGCAGTGAGCCGAGGTTGCGCCACTGCCCTCCAGCCTGGGTGACAGAGACTCCGTCTCAAATCAATCAATCAATCAATAAATAAATAAATAAAACCATTTTTTAATGTTGCTCATTTATTTGGAACATTTTTAGTTTTTCTCAGAAATTATCCCATTGCATTAGCACTTACTGTGTTTTCAGGTTTATATCTACCAAAGGACATAAATTGAATGGTAGACTGTAAAACTGGTATAAACAGAATGCAGTTTCCTGACCATCAGAACCCAAATATTAAGAAACATATAGGAATCCATCTATGCATGAAACATGTAAAAAATATGTTGGTTAGTTTAATTAAAAATCTTATTGTGGCTCCAGTGAGACCATTTCATCCAAAAGATTTTTTCCCCCAGTGATGTTTGCTTTAGAAGCAAGATAGAAAGGAAGAAAAAGCATTAGGTAGATATGTATAGTAGGGACAGAGGGAAATCTTTCTTTTTTCCTTTCTGATAGTAGTATTTCTTGTTACACATTTTATTTATTTTGCGTTTGTTCTAAATAAAATATTATAACTTCAGACTTGAAAAAATTCCACTGAACTTTAAAGTTACAATGTTCATATTTGGGATTTTAAATGCCTTTGAGATTAAAATGTAGAATTGCAGGACCCAAAAACTTTTAAAATAATTAAAATTTTAAAAGGGCACATGTTGTGTTTTTTGGGCTTGCTCTCAGTTAATGCAAACTCTGATTGCAAATGGATGTCATGTTTCGTACCTTTTTTATCAGGAAAAAAGCAGCAAGCCTTCAGGTGTTCCAGTGATGCCTGACACAATGAGCTGGACTTTATGCTGCTCTTTACAGTAAGAGGTGTTGCATTGTATGTGGGGACTATGTGCACTGGCATCTAAGACAGTGACCTCAACAATATTAGCTTTGCACAAACCATAGAGAACGATGTTGGATGGCTACGTAATCAGTTATAACATTCTGGCAGCTAAATTGCTACAAGAGCTTCTTCTTGCAGAAGCTTAAAATACAAGATTTTTAATAATTTACTCAGAACAGTATAACTTCTGACACACACAAATGCTTGCCTCTTCATTCATATGTTCGTTACCTACTCTCCACATGTGTCTGTCATTTAGCTGTTTCTCAAGATGATGTTCAGCAGTTGGCTGCTTAGAATCTTTTTCAAGCCAGTTTCTAAGAAAGTTGTTTAATGTTCTACCATAGAATAATGCACACCATTGTCAGAGATTTGATTGTTGTGTTTTATGTAAGTCCATTTGACAATTTATTTCCCTTTCAGTTTATTTTCCTTCCTTATTTTGTTATACATGCCCTTCCCTTTCTCCCCTGCCTTTCCTACATTCATTCCTCTTCCTCTACCCTTCAGCACATCTACTTACTGGTGCTGTGCTGTGTGTCAGAAGATAAAACAGGTGTATTATTGTATAATGAATTTTGTATACATGTTTATGAAATGGTGAGATCAACTAAAGGAGGCATGTTCATAACAGTGTTTATTATCAGGAGCTATGTCCCAGGAAAAAAAAAAAACAACAGGGAGGGGCAAATGGCTACAGTTGTAAATGGATAACATCATTTAGAAAGCTGAATTTGCTGTTCATCTGAGCGGTTACCTGGAGTATTATATCTATGCACTGGTGAGCATCTCCTGATTCCACTTACCTTTCTCCCTGTGAACAGTTTACTGGTGCCGTGCTGAAGAGAGAGACATCTAAGTGATAACATGAATGAAGTCTTAAAAATTTAAAATATTTTTACTGCTATATAAACTAAAGACTACATTGTGCATCTTTTCTAACACTGTCTCTTGTTACGATAAACACTGAAATAGCATGTTAAACAGTTGCCTATACTTTAATATAATCAGTTGGGGAAAACTGGCCTTTTCTCCCCCACTGTATGATTGTTTCTTGAACAGTAAATTGCTAATTTTATACTGTGTGACTCTGTTCTTCACAAAATACGTTTCATTATTCTATATTTAAACTGTTGGTCAGAAAATGATCTGCAATTCAAGTAAGTTTGCATTACTTTTTTCTTTAAAAAGTACTTTAACATGCCTTATTTATTATATTAGCAAATAAGGAGCTAATAACAGATGAAATTTTCATTTTTTTTGACAAATGTAACCTTGCATAACTAATATTTAGGATGATTTTGATACTATCTTTTAGAGTTTTGCACTGGATATTAAAAAAATATATTGGCACAATATACTGGAAGAAAATGAGTAGTATCTGGTTTAATTTTTAATATTTAGGGACATTTAAAAAAATCAGTGTTTTAATTAGACTAAAAATTCTTTATATTTTTTATTTGCTTTTTAAAAGAAACATCTGTCAAAGTAATATTGATTCCAAACTGATGTTTGTGTGAATTTACATGTCTATTTTCATGAACTAAGAATAAGTTTCTTTGAGTTAAGGAGAAAAAAATATATATTTGGGTCCATTTATGAGGTTAAAGTTGACCCTTTCAGTGTAAAAATAACCACAGTGTGTGAGCTAAAGAAAAACAGTAAATTTCTCCTTTATATTCTAAGAAGCTTTAAAAGAACAATTCAGGGGATATTGATAACTGCTACTCTGTCAGTCATTGTCTCTATATGCAGTAAAATTTTATGGTCCCTTTATAGTAATATAAAGAATTCAAAGAGTTTTTCAAAACATTTTTTTCCTTGGACATAAAAAATTTTGATGCTATTCTATTTTTGTTTTTATTATAGCTTAACTGTATGCTGTTAAACTCTAGGATGTATCTGAATCTTTCCTCCCCCCGCCCCAAATATATAAATCTGTGCTCTCACATATAATGTATTTAATTTTTGGAAAATTTAATGCTATAGTAAATCAAGTGTGTGATTTAAAGTAATCAGATCACTTTGATTCTTTAAGTTTTCAGAATTTCTTTTTTCCACAGGTAATTTTGGAGAAAATAATTACCAATTAACTGATAATAAGCACGCTGTCCTCTGCTGTAAAAAGTCTGAATAGATACTGTGTATGTTTTTATGTCCATGAACTTGAGCTACTCGTGTGCAATTATGTGTATGGGAATGGAGTAGTGTTCATGATTTGTATCTACATCATCATATGGATGTATATTTATTAATAAAGTCATTACTTTAAAACCAACTGTGTTTACTACTTTGTTTTTTAGTATGGTACTTTTCAAGTACTTAAGTGGTAAATGGTAAACCTTTTTCATGACTGTAGATTTTGTGTTTTTCTTAGAAGTTTGCTTTTTTTTTTTTTCTTTTTTAAAAGACAGGGTCTCACTCTGTCACCCAGGCTGGAGTTCAGTGGTGTGATCATAGCTCACAGCAGCCTTAACCTTCTGGGCCCAAGCAGTCCTCCTGCCTTCCCACCCCAGCTTCCCTAGTAGTTGGGATTACAGGTACATGCCACCATGCCCAGCCTGATTTTTTAATTTTTGTAGAGATGGGGTCACCTATGTTGCCCAGGCTGGTCTCAAACTCCTGGTGTCTGGCCAGGCGCAGTGGCTTCCCCTTGTAATCGCAGCACTTTGGGAGGCCAAGGCGGGTGGATCACGAGGTCAGGAGTTCGAGACCAGCCTGACTAAGATGGTGAAACCCCATCCCTACTAAAAATACAAAAATTAGCTGAGCATGGTGGCACTTGCCTGTAATCCCAGCTACTTGGGAGGCTGAGACACAGAATTGCTTGAACCCAGGAGACAGAGTTTGCAGTGAGCCAAGATTGCGCCACTGCACTCCAGCCTGTGCGAGAAACAAAGATAAATCAGAATACAGCTAGAAATAAAAAAAGATGCATCAGACAAATAGTTCTACTAAAAGACTAATACTTAAATTTAAACATTATTGATTCCTATGGTTTTTTTTAAAAATTAGATATTAAAGATGGCTCATTTTAAAATTTATTTAGAGATACAGTCTCTTTCAGACACCCAGGCTGAAGTACAGTGGCACAATCATAGCTCACCGCAGCCTTGAACTTCTGGGCTCAAGTGATCCTCCCACCTCAGCCTCCAAAGTAGCTGGGACTACACCCAGCTTATTTATTTATTTATTTTGTAGAGACAGGGTTTTGCTATGTTGCCCAGGCTGGACTTGAATGCTTGGCGTCAGATAGTCTTCCTGCCTTAGCCCCCCATAGTGCTAGGATTACAGAAGCAACATAGCTCATTTTGTTATTTATTTTTTGAGACAGGGTCTTGCTCTGTCACCCAGGCTGAAGTACAGTGGCACGACCTTAGGTTACTGCAACATCCAAATCCTGGGCTCAAACGATCCTCCCAACTCAGCCTCCTAAGTAGCTAGGACTACAGGCATGTGCTACCATGCCTGGCTAGTTTGTATATATATATATATTTTTATCATGTGCGTGTGTATTTAAATAGAGATGTGGCCTCACTAAGTTGCCCACACCTGTCTTGAACTCCTGCGTTCTAGGGATCCTCCTGACTTGGCCCCCCAAAGGCTTGGGATTACAGGCATGAGACACTACATCTGCCCTGCTCAGATTGTTAAAAGTCCTTTCACTCATACATGGCCATGTGCTATTGATTAGGTGGGCTATTCCTAATGTGGGAAAAGATCTACACCATCATAGTTATGGACAGTTTGGGCTCACAGGATTACTTATTTATTAAATATATTTTAGTCCAATTTTTTCTAGTTCTTCATAGAGTTTCTGTAATATTTATTTTTCCATTGTAATTATATTTCCCCATATTCTCAAGCAGATCATTTGAAAAAGCTAACCAACTGAAGAGAAGGCAGTCTCCCTTTATCACCTAGAATTTAATTTTAGGGTCTCACTCTGTTGCCCTGGCTGGAGTACAGTGGTGTGATCACAGCTCACTGCAGCCTCAACCCTCGGCTCAGGCAATCCTCCCACCCCATCCATTTGGGTAGCTGGGACTGCACGTGCACGCCACTATGTCTGGCTAATGTTTCGTGTGTGTGTGTGTGTGTGTGTGAGAGAGATGGTGTCTCACTGTGTGTGTGTGTGTTTGAGATGGCGTCTCGCTCTGTCGCCCAGGCTAGAGTGCAGTGGCGCAATCTCAACCCTCTGCAACCTCTGCCTCCTAGGTTCAAGTAGCTGGGATTACAGGTGCCTGTCACCGTTCCTGATTTTTGTATTATTAGTAGAGACGTAGACAAGGTTTCACCGTGTTGGCCAGGCTGACCTTGAACTCCTGACCTCGTGATCCACCTGCTTCAGCTTCTCGAAGTACTGGGATTACAGGCGTGAGCCACCACGCCCGACCTATGTTTTATATTTTTTTGGAGAGATAGGTTTTGCCACGTTGCCCAGACGGGTCTTGAACTCCTGGACTCAAGCTATCTTTGCGCCTTGGCCTCTTAAAGTGCTGGGATTACAAGCATGAGCCACCATGCCTGGCCTAGGAGTAGTGTTTTTGTACTGGTTTTGAGATAAATGTGGCCATGGAAAGCTGATACATTTCATTTTATCTCTGCGGCCATTCTGTTGTGAGAACTTAGGGGCTTTAAAATAGCTTCTTGGGAGAGTGACAGAAAAAAAATCAGTCTTAAAATTTTATCTGTCATTTGTCTTTCTTGTGACTCTTAAATTTTTTTTTTCTCTAAAGATTTTTAGTCCATTCTGTTAGGTGTTTATTTCTGTATGGGCTTGGCATGTTTTTAAGTACAGAATCTGCCCATTTTTCTTTAATCTGCCTAGTGCTGGTTTGTCATTGACCAGGCACGGTGGGTCACGCCTGTAATCCCAGCACTTGGAAGGCTGAGGCGGGTGGATCACGAGGTCAGGAAAACGAGACCATCCTGGCTAACACAGTGAAACCCTGTCTCTAATAAAAATACAAAAAATTAGCCAAGTGTGGTGGTGGATGCTGGTAGTCTCAGCTACTCAGGAGGCTGAGGCAGGAGAATGGCGTGAACCCGGGAGGCAGAGTTTGCAGTGAGCGGAGATAACACCACTGCACTCCAGCCTGGGCAACAGAGCAAGAGTCCGTCTAAAAAAAAAAAAACAAAAAAAGCTGGTTTGTGAAAAGCTGGTTTATGATTTACTATCATTTGTTTCTTTCCTTTGGCTAACTTGTAGAGTGACAGTCACCCTATAAGTTGCTGCCTTATCACTGCATGTGACCTACAGGTCCCACAGACACGTAAGTTATTTTTCCTTGTCCTCTTCGTATTGTTTTTACTTGCTTATTTCTTGGTAATTTTGTTAATTTGCCTCAAATCACTTTCAGTTATCATAAAGGAAAAATTTTTTTGGACAACTGTATAATATTTGATGATCAGCAGTTCTCATCCACATTGACTGGATTTTTGAAAATGATAACAGGTACGTAGGTAACCTAAGCATAGAGCTTGTTTGGTGAATCTTCATCCTCATTACGTTTTCTGGACAACCACACACGGATTGGTATGGGACGTTCCTTATTCCTTTGGCCTAGACAGCTTTGTTGAGCCTGGTATCAATGCACACATCTGGAATTCCCATCTCCTGCAGATCTGAGTGCCCAAGGGGCATGCTGCTTGAAGCCCACTCTATGCATGCACTTGTGAATGTTGATGGTGTATTCTTTGTTTGTTTGTTTGTTTTTTTTTGAGACAGAGTCTCGCTCTGTCGCCGGGGCTGGAGTGCAGTGGCTGGATCTCAGCTCACTGCAAGCTCCGCCTCCTGGGTTTAGGCCATTCTCCCGCCTCAGCCTCCCGAGTAGCTGGGACTACAGGCGCCCGCCACCTCACCCAGCTAGTTTTTTGTATTTTTTAGTAGAGACGGGGTTTCACCGTGTTAGCCAGGATGGTCTCGATCTCCTGACCTCGTGATCCGCCCGTCTCGGCCTCCCAAAGTGCTGGGATTGCTTGAGCCACCGCACCCGGCTTTGATGGTGTATTCTCAAGTCACCACCTCGATTGCAGAACAGCCCTTCTCATCACCCTTCTTTGCAGGAGCCATTCTGCCAGGCCCGAGTTGGAAATGCAAGGAAAATATTTTTAAGTATTGAAATTTTCTAATTTCGATGTTTGTGTAACCCTTGGTTGCTACTAATGCTGTTTTTCATGTTATGGGAAATTTTAATCTTTATTAGATTAACATAGTTTTTCTGAATATCTTAAGTCTTCCATTTCACTTGCCTGTTTATATCCTGTATAGCAGTTAGTCCTTATGGTAATTATAGTTGTAACAAAGAGACCCCAAAATTGCTGGATGTGGTGGTGCATGCCTGTAGTCCTAGCTATTTGGGAGGCTGAGGTGGGAGGACTCCTTGAGTCCACGAGTTTGAGACTTCAATGAGCTGGGATCATACCACTGCACTCCAGCCTGGACAACAGAGCAAGACTCTGTCTCAAAAAACAAAAACCAAAAAAAAAAAAAAAAACAAAAACAAAAAACATGGCTTCCAAGATTAATTGCCTTCATTTTACCCAGTCTGAAGGGAGGAGTTACGGAAGTCCAAGCCCTTTTAGGCAAATAAGGTGAAGCTACATATAGCTGCAAGAGGTGTTGGGAAGCATAGTCCCTATTTGAACAACCAGGTCCAGTTACTAATATGGAGGGAGAGAATGGATTTTAGTGGCAATCTCTACCATATCTCTGTAGGTAAAGGTTTATAGGTGGAGACTGGGGGGGAATGAAGAAGCACACATACCTACAGGTTACATGAAACCAAACAGGTTTTTGAAACTAATTTAAATTGTTACTAGTTACCTTTAAGAAATTGTTGATTCACGGCCGGGCGCGGTGTCTCAAGCCTGTAATCCCAGCACTTTGGGAGGCCGAGGCGGGCGGATCACGAGGTCAGGAGATCGAGACCATCCTGGCTAACACAGTGAAACGAGACCATCCTGGCTAACACGGTGAAACCCCGTCTCTACTAAAAATACAAAAAACTAGCCGAGCGAGGTGGCAGGCGCCTGTAGTCCCAGCTACTCGGGAGGCTGAGGCAGGAGAATGGCGTGAACCCGGGAGGTGGAGCTTGCAGTGAGCTGAGATCCCGCCACTGCACTCCAGCCTGGGCGACAGAGCGAGACTCCGTCTCAAAAAAAAAAAAAAAAAAAAATTATTAATTCACTAAAGATCTGAGTATCATCTTTGAGCCAAGCACTATTCTGAGTACACTAGACTACTTCCTGGTTTATAGTCTAGTGAAAGGTTTG